CATTCTCATCATACAACTTATCTATATCATCAAGTAACTCTTTTATGACAATTTTCTCCCTCTCACCAAAATCACCATCATGCCAACTAAAGAAGCTGCACCACCCCCCTGTGATGTTTAACATCAACATTAGGAAGTAATTGAAGAAATTGGGAAATAAATATTTTCAAATCATATTACCTGGTGATACTTTGGATACCCGTGAAATCTTCTCCTTGGGTTAGCATCCATCCATGCTGTCTATCTCGAAGCAACCAAGCCACAGTGGCAACGCCTAGCTAGAATTTCATCTTCTTCCTCATATCGAGCTTGTTTGATCTGCGTTACCCTCCTTTTGCTAATTCTGGTGGTTGACGATGAAGATGACGCCATGTATTAGGTCAGAAGCAAATAGTGAAGACGATGAAAGATTGACCAGAGTGATTGTGCATGATAAACATAGATTTTTATTCTATCATTCTGTGCTTATTTTCAAAAATCGTGTGTCAACCAGCTGACTCATCATTTTTGAACCTACAACAATAAGCCACGTCGGCATTAGACTAGTCAGACGACAGGTGGCAGGCCAGATAAGCAATTAACGCACCAAATAAACGAAATTAAGAGGCAAGAGACGGATTGGTTATTTCTACACCCACAAATGTGACGTTATGGGTATTTTTGTCCTTTTTGTCACTTCATGATATTGGGTGTCCCTGACTGCCTACTTTATGGGTATTTTTGCCCCTTTATCCTTTGTAATATTTAACCCCTTAAAAAATATTTTAAATTTTTTAATGAAAAGAATATTAATTATTATCAATTATAATGTCAATTCATTGATTATTACATTTTTATCAAACATTAATTATTAACATTGATATTACTTTCAGCATTAATATTACTTTTTACTATAGAGTCTGGTCTTTGGTCTGGAAATTCGCAAAGGTTAGGATAAGTAATTGAAGCACATGCATTGTCCAAAGGAAATGCATGTGGTGCATACCTTTGCATGCCATTAGAACAGAGCTTCACGCCACGGTATGGCATAAACTGATCAGACAATCTGCATGTCTCTGAGTTTGGATTAGTTGGCACGCAAACCAGTGGTTGAACATGTTTTAGAGGCAAAAGAGCTCGTTTGAAAAAATCATTTGCCTATATGGCTGCTAATGGATATGTGTGTGCGCGAGTGAAAAGAACGGTGCAATTATCTCTTTCATCCGAGCAACTGCGACATGAATAATTCGATTGTCATTACGTGACATGCATGCATAACGCAATATAGAAGAATCCCCAGCGCAGGACTAGGCAAGGAGTATCATGGTACGCACCATTTCAAAGCCTTATTATATTGTCCGCGCGAAATGTCGTGGAAATAAAAGTAGTCTAGCTTGCATCTGCTATGGGCTTAATTTTTTTCCCCGCGAAGAACTGGACATGTAGTGTTAATTTCACGAAAAATGCACAAATCCACGAAAAAGACATCTTAATGAAGATATCAGAGTCATGAAATCGCATGCCTGGCAAAAAAATATTTTCATACTGAATGTGTTTTATACGTACTGGATCAATCATTTTTTCTATTAGGGGTGGATTTAAACACCTATAATTGAATTATAAAAATTTAAAGCTTTTTGGTTGAGGATGGATTAAAAAATAATAATCTCAAAACGTTCTTAGGTTTAATCAATGATTTTAAAATTAGACATTCTGACTAGCAAGATCGCCGGCCAATCCTTGTCCTGGCTCATTTTGTACTGCAAAACCATTTTATCTTTTGAATTTTATTAGGTTGCTCAAAACCAATGGTTACATTGGGAACCGTTAAAAAACCGCAAATCAAAGCAATTCTGTAAAAATTGGACATCTCAGTTTTTTTATTTTGTTTCAATTTTAACCGTAAAAATATCTAGCTCATTCACTTTTCAGACACTTTGAGAAAGTGAAAATAAATTTAATTTGCACACTTTGTTTCAATTTTAACTCTATATTAAAATAATACCTTCGTTTCATTTGCTTGACACTTTTTTTAATAAATCGTTTTCATTTTTTTTACACTTCTTAATCTGAATAAATATTCAAGTCAACAAATCTAAATTAAAATAGGGATATTTTTTACAAAGTGTTGGTATTGAATCATTTGATGTGATATTATGTCATGAGGCTTGTTAACTTATAATTAACTTGAAATATTTAAATTTATTTTTAAGTTTTGTAACAATTTTATATTTATTTTTTATATTTATATTATATATAATATATTTTAAATTTAATTATTACATTATCAGTTCTATTGTAAGTCTAACTAATTGAACCATGCGAGCTGTGGACGGCTAGCATTTTCAATTCAACGTCTGGATCGATTATGAAAACATTAATTTTAATGACTATTTTGACATTGATGATTGTTATTTATTTTTAAAATTGAAGGTATTTAAAAAATACTGAGAAGAAATATTATTAAACTTTTTCTTGCCAACAGAATGTTAAACTACTTCAAAGATGAATTAAACTCTTTTCTAAATATACATATTGTTCATTGAATATTATTGACAATTATAACAAAATTTTATTTGAGATCATCTGCGGCACAATGGCAGATAGATTGAATTAGCTATGTTATTTACTACTATTCATTCAAAATAAAACATCAAAATTACACAGCCATGAAACTCTGATATGAGATTTTACTGTTCAAAAAAGTTACGACGAACTATAAGAAGTGATAAATTACATCATATTACTTCTCTAATAATAATCTTGCCATTCGCTCCAAAATTTAAATTCGTTTACAGGTACACGGCCTTGCAAATGCTATGCTTAGAGATAGAGACGAACTTGTGTTTTAAATCCCCAAAAAATAATAGATACAACATTTGCATGAATGCACATGCACATGTATTGAGAATACATAATTCGAGAGATAAATTTTAAATTAGTTTTCACAAATAAAAAACACTTTTATCATAAACAATAAGCATAATAGAATATATTTCAATTCACAGCAAATATAAAATAGAAAATATAACAATAAAATTTATCTGATATATATAAATGATAATGTGGTCCTTCAAAATATTATAATTCCCCTAAAGTTTCTAATGACTTTTTTGTCATTAATAAATTTATAAAAATTATCAAATTATTCTTGTTGAAAATAAATAATTTATAAATTTTTTAAATATTCATAACTTTCCTTTTCATATTCACAATAATATAATGGCAAATCACAATTTCACATGTTAAATTCTTTATTTGTTGTTGCATTATTACGAATATAAGAAAAAAGTTGTGAATATTTAAATAAAACTTGTCAATCATTTATTTTTAACTAGAGCAATTTAATAATTTATATAAATTTATTAATGATAGAAAAGTTTCTAAAAACTTCAGAAAAATTATGATGTTTTGAGAGACCAAATTATTATTATATATTTAAAAAAAATTTTATTATCATTTTTTTAAAAATAAGTTATATTTTATCAAAATATATCTAAGCTAGGGTACTAATGCCAACTTTTATTTGATTAGGCTCTTAGAGTTAGTAATTTAAGTTTGGTTTAAATAAATTTGACCTTATTCAACCTTATTAAAAACCTCAAATGATTAAATCCGACCTGAATTCCTTTGTCACCCAAATTTCCTAATTACATTTGTTACCATGTTTAAATATTTTTATCAGATTTTACATTTTAATTTCTAGTTTATTTACTTCTTTGTTTTTATTGAAACTATTTCATTTCTCACTCTCGGGAGGTATGCGTCTTCTTCATTTTATCCCTGGGACCGCATTTGATCGTGCGCATCACCCCTATGAGGGTGATCTAAGCTCTTTATTTTTTTTTTTTTGGATGATCTCTACCGTTGGTTTAAATTTATTTTAAAAGTATTTTTATATTAAATTCATTAAAAAAATTATAAAGCATTATAATATTAAATATACATTATTAAGAGTGTATCAATTAATTAAAATTATAAAATATTTAATATTAAATTAGACTTTTGAAATTATATATATACTGTTTAAAATACATTTAAATAATTAATTTATAAAAATTATTTAAATATAATATTAAAATAAATTATTTAAATTGAATATGTACTGATTAGATTGGTAATAAATAAATTTACTAAAAATTTTTATATTTTTTTATATATTTTTTATTTTAATAAATATAAAATAAAAATAAAAAGTTTAAATTAAATAATTTAGATCTTATCAAAAGTGATGAGTACAACATACTTTAATAATATAAAAAACAGTCTATATTTAATATTATAAATTTTTTATCATTTTTCTATATTTTATTTTTATAAATATAATATTAAAATGGATCATTTGAAAAAAAAAAATAAAGGCTCAGATCATCGCACAAGGCGATGAGCGCGCGGCGGTCATGAGCACCGAATGCGTTTCCTTTCTCCCTCGCTTTCTCTCTCTTCGAATCAATTCTCCCTCTCTTCCATATCTTCCAATCCATCCGTTCATTTCTAGATCCCACATCGCATTCTCCTCTTCATCCACACAAAAACCTTGGTGATTGATTGTTGATTGTTGTTGGATTGTGGTGTTCGATTCGTCTCTTCAAATCTGGACAAACCCGTGTAAATGAAGCTACAATCTAAGGCTTCAGTGGTTCCAAACGGAACTAAGCAGATCAGCAGATTGAAAAGAAGATGGTCGTCGTCACCGTTGCCGAGCAGAGAAAGACCGCGAGCAGAGTCAGCCGTCAACGAGAGTGTGAGAGAGGCTGAGCTTGAGAGTGAAGAATGAAGAAGAGAGGCGAAATAGCCGTCAACGAGAGTGCATGAAAGAATCAAATGAAGCGCGGCGTTTAGGGTTTAATACTTTTTCCAAGTTTATTTGAGCTGGCAGCTGAATTACCGGCTCCTGAGTTTTACTATTTGCATAAGCTGTGATACCCAACTGGGCCAAAGCCCACAAGCATACGTGCGGGCTCTTTCGTCCTGGCCTTTATGTTAATTAAGGAAAACAACTTCGCAGCTTAAAATGTACGGGAGCAGGACGTCAACTGTACGCAGTCGCCCTTCACGTGACGCGTCATGGCGGTGAGTGAAAACTCTCATAAAATGTCGCCCCGCCAGAAGTCTTACGTCACTGCGATTCGGGAGTGGACTGGGCGCCAGGGCATACTAGGAGCTTCACGTTCCTTCCGAAATCCCTTTCATCGCTTTGCTCAAAAACGCATATAGTGCCATGGCGGAATCGGTTTCGGATGATTCCTCCCACCATACTCCGCCGCCGGAGGCGGCACCTGTTCGCGATCGCAAAAAATGGGCTGATGAAGCGGAAGAAGAAGTTCCTGAAGAAACGAGTGAAGCCACTGCGAGTTCGTCGACAGTCTCGTCGCTTAAGGTTGATGAACTAACAATCGATGAGAAAAAGAAGAGTGCTAGGGTTTTGGATGAACCCGATGATTCCAGTATCCAAGCGGTACGATCTTTTATAATAAGATAGTTTCTTTTTCCTTCTTAAATGCTATTATTTTTTGATAACATTAAATGCTATTATTTTACTGGCAAGTGACCCTTGATACTTGAATCACTGTTTTCTGGGTTCAAAGGCGGGTATCAACAGGAAAAGGATAGGTGTTATTATTTACTATTTGAGTGTTGATATCGGAGCCAAGATTGGATATCCCGAGCGGGGCTATCCAGTTCAATGAAGCCTGGATGCTTAGTTAGTGTACATGAGATAGCCTAATGGTGGCAATTGACAATAATTTAGAGTTGTATTTTGTTTTGTCTACGACAAAATAGTTTCTCTTAGTGACGAATTGAGGTATTTACCGTGTCGTTAACTTCTCCTTAGAAATAACCTTCCTCGGAAAGAGGTCCCGGCTTTTTTTTTTTTGTTTCACCATAGTTGATGGGCAAATGGAATCCATTCGAGGATGATAGGGTTTAGACTTCCTCTACTAATGACTTCGGGGTTGAAATTTGATGTAGGTTACATCGGGTGATACTCCCTATAATTCAGCGAGTACCTTTGAAGATTTAAATCTGTCCCCGGAGTTGCTGAAGGGATTGTATGTTGAGATGAAATTCCAGAAGCCTAGCAAGATTCAAGCTATTAGTTTGCCGATGATTTTGAACCATCCTTACAAGGATTTGATCGCTCAGGCACATAACGGATCTGGCAAGACAACTTGTTTTGTGCTTGGGATGCTGAGTCGTGTTGATCCTAAGGTGCAAGCTCCTCAGGCCCTTTGCATTTGTCCAACAAGAGAATTGGCCATTCAGGTGAGATTCTGTGTTCTTCATTTGTTTAGTAAGCATAAAACTGCCTGACATGGAGTTTGAGCTTTATGATGGCAACTGAATATTCCAGAATATGGAAGTTCTTCGAAAGATGGGGAGGTACACAGGGATTGTTTCTGAATGTGCCATTCCCACAGACAGCAGAGATTCTATTCCAATATCAAAACGACCACCCATAATGGCGCAAGTAGTGATTGGGACTCCTGGCACGATTAAGAAATGGACGTCATTTAAGAAGCTGGGTGTAAGCAGATTAAAAATTTTAGTTTTTGACGAGGCTGATCAAATGCTTGCTGAGGTAATTCTAGCAAATTGATTTGACCTACTGTTTTAGATCTTTAAGTTTCATTAAGCTAATTTATGAAACAGTTCCTTTTCTGACTTAATGTTTTACAAATTATTGGATAATTAATGGTATATTCTTTGGAGTAATCGCAATTAAGATATATGAAATTAAATTTGTAATATATTTTTGTACCAAAGAAAAAGTTGTAATATATTTATCAATGTAAACCCTAAACCCTCTAATCAATCTTGTTCAGCAACAATTGCATAGTAGGTGCTCTTTGATTATGCATGTTGGTGGAGGGGTGATCTGTAAACAACTTGGCTCAATAACATGCCTAATTCTACTGGGCGAATACCTCGCAGAAAGTATGCTATATAGATCATACGGCCTTATCATTAATTTTGTTGAATCGTCGTCAGTTATGTTTTACTGAATTATTCTTGCTTATATTTTAAAATATTGTGTGGTGTGGTTGTTAATATTTTATTCCTTCATTTTTTTAATTATTGGAAATTGTGACATTGCAGGATGGTTTTAGAGATGATTCCTTGAGAATAATGAAGGAAATAGAAAAAGTCAATCTGCATTGTCAGGTTTGTTGAGCCCCCTGTCTCAGGCAATTTGTAAGTAGCATGCACGACACCTATCCTCAGTCACTGCATGTACGAACATATGGCATGTAGTTTATAGGAACAGACGCATCTAGATCTGTTGAGGTGAAGTGCCTCTTGTGCTCTCTTTGTTCCCATGCGGAGCTAGTGAATGATTTCCAAACTATGACGTTTACACTATTTTCATCTTGCCTAAGAAAAAAAAGTATCAAGGAGTATTTAACATTTTAATGCTATATCCCCATCCAAAAAAATAAATAAATGATATGGCCATGTCAAGATTAAATGTCTCCTCACTCATGCTAATAAGTTGCCATAATCAAAAGCGGACTTTGACGGAAGGGAGTGATGTAATTGATGGTAGAAATATTTTACTTAATATGGTTGCTATGTGATATGAACTGCATCTTTTGTGCCTGCTTGTGATGTAGCCATGTAGCCTAAGAAGAAGCGTGGACGTGGATATCACTAAGACAGTTTAGTTTTGAATAATTGATATTTGAAATATTGTGTTATACCTTAGGTGCTTGTGCAACATGTGTCAGACACATATTTGAAGTGTTGTGTTAGTATTGTGTTATACCTTATTAGGTGTTTGTGCAACATGTGCCAGACACATATTTGAAGTGTTGTGTTATACCTTAGGTATTTCTCCACCATGTGTCAGACATAGGTACAGCTCCTTTTCTAGAAGTGTCTGTGCTTTGTAGGGTGTTACTTTTATTTCACAGTTTTATCGGCAAATGTGGATTCCCACGTTAGCTTATGTTTCAATAACTAAATGGGATAAAGGTCTTTGACCTTTTTTAATTGGCTTGTATTTCTCCAGGTTCTTCTTTTTTCAGCTACCTTTAATGACACAGTCAAGAATTTTGTTTCAAGGGTAGTTAAGAAGGATCATAATCAACTTTTTGTGAAGAAAGAAGAACTGTCTTTGCAGGCAGTGAAGCAATACAAGGTGAACTGTCCAGATGAGCTCTCTAAGATTTATGTGATCAGAGATTACATATTTGAGATAGGAGAGAATGTTGGGCAAACTATTATATTTGTGCGCACAAGAAACAGTGCAAGTATGTTGCATAAATCACTTGCGGATTTGGGTTATGAGGTTACTTCAATACAAGGTGCTCTTGACAATAATGAGAGAGACAAGATTGTTAAGGAGTTCCGGGATGGTTTGACTCAAGTTCTTATATCTACTGATGTTCTTGCTCGAGGTTTTGATCAGCAACAGGTGGATTTGTTATGTTCTCTTCCCTTTCTATGTATGTGATCTGTCTGTACAGTGTGCTGACATACTGCTCTTCTTTGTATATTTTCTATGCAGGTGAATTTGGTTATCAATTATGATCTCCCTGTGAAACATACTGCTGTTTATACCCATGAACCAGAGCCCGACTATGAGGTATATTTGCACAGGGTTGGTAGGGCAGGACGTTTTGGGCGCAAGGGTAAACTTCTAGTTCATGACATTCTGTTTTGTACATCCTACTATGTGGTTTTTAAGGTTTTTTGAGACTTTCTTCTAAATAACTTTTTGTTGCGTTTTATTTTGGTACCAAATGATTCAAACAACACCTGAACATATTAAATTGACGTAGGGCAAGGGCACGTACAAAAGCTCCGACATTATCATCCCCAAAATAGCCTCCAAGTCTTGTGGGGGCTGATCCATGTAGTGCAACACCAGTGCAGTGTGTTCATAACATAGGTGGCCAAGAAATCCATACTTTGTTTCCTTCCCTGAAAAATTAAGGATTCTGCACATTCCACTCCCCCCACAAAATCCTCTTGATTCTTTTAATAATCCGTGAATAAACATTGTTGTTTATCCTCTTTTCTCAACAACTGAACGGCAAGGGAACTATTAGTAACTGCTCCCATCTGAACTTGGCGATAACTATTGGCCCATGCAGGCTCCATGCCATTTAACATGCCCAATAACTCAGCTTTTAAGATGCACTGCCCAATATTTTTGCAGGACCCACATAATCATTCACTGATGGAATGGAACCCCTTATTAGACACCTGCTCCTGCAATTTCAACAGTTTTCTTGGAAACACCATTACATTAAGGGTCATCCAACCTTCAGGAGGTTTATTCCAGTTGATTTCCTTCCCAGCTCTCAGTATATGGTCTCCTAACCGATGGAACCCTTGTTAGACTCCAACTCCTGCAATTTCTCTAGTTTTCTTGAATACACCATTACATTAAGGGTCACCCAACCTTCAGGAGGTTTATTCCATTTGATTTCCTTCCCAGCTCTCATGGTATTGGTTCCCCAAAGTGTTCCTTTTTTTTTTTTGGCCCTTTTTTGTGCACAAAGATGCTCTTATTTCTTTTTTACCCTGGAGTTTTCAGCGATGTTCCAATTCACCGAATATCTTTTTTGCTGGCAACAACCCATCATTAAGACTCAAATGATTAATCTGTTACACAATGGGAGATTTATGGTGTAACTTTTTCTAGTGGGTCAAAAATTGATTTAAGATGGTTCTGTCTTTTCTACTGATTGAACTAGTAATGGATCAGATTTCATAGACAGTGTGAAATGTTGATTTTGTTTTGAGATGTTTTATATGATCCTGTAGGTGCTGTATTTAACTTGATATGTGGTGAAAGGGATGAGAATCTGATGGAAAAAATTGAGAAACATTTTAGCACTCGTGTAACTGAGGTATGTTCCTAGACAATGGCTCACTCTCATATCATGTTGCTCCGTGCAGCAAGATTCAATATGATGTATCTTAGATTATGATTCGGCATTCTTTGTTTTAGAAAGAGTTACTTGCACCCCTTAAAAGCTTAAATATCACGAGTTCCTTTTTTATCTTTGGCCATCAATATCACGACTTCCTATGATGTTATTACCGTGGGTGCAGGTTCAACTACGAAATGTTGATGATTATAAATGTGCTCTTAAGGAGGCTGGTTTACTGCAATAATGTGGATCGCCGTAGCTGAAAGATGGAGAACTTTGTGGCGGTCACTGGCACGTGACTATTTACTGATCTTGCTCCATGGCTCTTGATTTGATGTATATGAGTGCACTGAGGTGTCGTAATTTTTTTTTCTGCCCCTGGTTTTTACAGTCTTGAAAAAAGAGACTCAGTTTTGGAAATTTTGCCCCGTAAATTTATGGGTTGTCGGGTGATGGTGATGGGATTATTAGTTTGAGTAATCTGGTATATCTTGTAGTTGTCTTTGGAATACGCTGGTTATAGTTGAAATTTCTAATCGTCCGTTATTGGAGAAGGGATAGAAACATTATCTTTGGGAAGGAAGAAATGAGAAGTTACAACTCTAGCAACATTGCTTGTATATCTGATTGTCTTCACGGGGACGGTGAGTTTTTTAACTTTTGTTTTTTGGTGGGTCGGAGTTGCAATCGTACTCGGCACTCACAAATTAGTTCGGTCAGTTAAACTTCGCAAGGTGACACGATCGGGTGAACACGTCCATTAAAGCAGTACATTATTATTATTTTTTTAAATGGAAGCAAAGCAATTCATTAATGATTTAAGATTCAACGCATAAACAAGCGAGGATCATTATATGCACAAATGAAAGGAATAGCCATTCCTCTCCCTGATTAATAAGTAACACGATGAAATGATGTAGAAAGCCTTGTCAGAACTTAAACATCTACGTCATCAAGGTCAGGTAACGGAAACCTGAGAAGAGCGGCTACTCCGGTGAGCATGGCAAGCTGTTGTGCTGAGGCATGCAGGGAGGAATAAACTAGAACCTTGCCTCCCCCTTCTCTCACCGATTTAGCCAAGTTCGTATACTTCTGCCTCGTCTGAACATCTGAGCTTCTATGCAGATCGTCCGTGATCAGTAGCGTCTCAATTGCCATCATCTCCTGCGCAGCCTCCACATTCTTCGTACCATAACACGCCCGGCCCGAATTGCTGTCCAGCAAGTCCCACAACTCTCGGAAAGCTCGAATCTCCAACGCAACCTTGCTATCTTTTATCATATTCATCACCCCATTGTCGTGCAGAACCTCCTTCAGATCTCCCTTACATCCGGCCGCTACAATTCTCGACTTATTGTCCTCGATTGTCTTTATCTTCAATCTCTTGGCTTCTGAGAGCAGAAACCTCCGGAACTCGTCCTTCGTCGATCCAGCACTCGCTATCATTACGCTTTTAATGGTGTTGAAATCCACATACTTCACAAAGGCATTAAAGGTGTCCTGGAAAAACGCACTGCTGGCTGATTTCTTTCTGGTTTTCGAGGCTTCGATTTTAGAGCATAGTGTGGTTAGCCCATTCCCAACTAAATAAACCTCTGCCTGACCCTCCTGTATAAGAATCACGGCGAGGTCAGCGCCTGATGATTTCTCGGAGCTCTCGGATAGTGCTGCCACAGCGGTCGCATCCCAAATCTTTTTGGAGAGTTCGAAGCCTCTGTTCTTTTCGAGGGTCAACGTGTGGAATGAGCCGGCGGCGACGTACTGGCTAGCCTCGACGTTCCTGCCTTGAACGCGCACGGTGGAAGAATCTCTGTGGAAGTCGCGGCACTTGACTTTGACGGGGATGGTAAGCTTGACGCGTGAGGCGGTGTTCTTGGTGGACTCCAGGTGAACTTTGCGAGTCGTATCAGCGGTGACGACGTCTCCGTTGGCAATTAGGTTGTAAACCACCCATAAGTCGTCGGGTTCTTCCGGGATGATCTTGACCGTTCCCGGCTGGTTCAGAGCCAAGTTCTTGTCTAAAACCTTCATTGTTCTTTGCTGAAAGATGATATCTCGGGAGGGTATGGACTTCTCCCAATAAAACGAACCCGAGTGGATGCTTGTTTTCTACGGATTATTGATAATATGAGTTAAACAAAAGAGGGTCACAAGACTTATTTTAATTTTGCTGAAAAGGAATGTGCCTGATGTGAGCGGGAATCCTTATTTAACTTGGATTCTGTCCAGCCGGGTAAACCATTCCTTCTCTTGTTTACAAGCTGAGGTGATTGAATGCATTCACGGTCTTCTTTTTTATTTTTTTTTTAAAAGATAAAAGTTATCTTTACCCTTAAATTATGCACGAAAATTTTCAAATAATCTTAAACTTAACAATGAGTCTATTTTATCCTTTAATTATTAAGATTTTTAAATCTATTATCTTGTATAAACATCATATTTTATCTAGGCCTAATAAATAAATAAGATAATATCTATGGTAAAATAAAAAGATAAAATAATAAGAATGAAAGTAAAAAAAATTATAACAAGAAAATATAAAAAAAAGTTGGGTACAAAGATAATGAAAAAATACGATCAAGCTAGATCACAATATAATAATTGAAATAATCAAAATATAATATAATATTATGATTTGAAGCTTTTAAGATAATATAATAATCAGGATATAATAATAGGAAAGATAATAATTAATATCCAATCTCTGAATAGTAATAACAACAATATAAGAATATATAAAATATTAATATTAATCACAATAGAATTGAGATATTAGAAAAACTCTAGGTCTATGAATTTATATAAAGGAAAGTATAGGTAGAGCATAAGGGAGTTAGAGAGAATGAAAAAAGGAAAAAAAGAGAAGACAACAGAAGTCTCAATTGATTGAGTCTTATAGAGGTAAATCTATTTTTTTCTTAACCTATAGATATGCCTGTACACTAGTAGAAGATTTCAAAAAGTTAGGTTTTAAAGCTTTAAATCTTAAATAATTTAATGGTTATTGTTATAAGAAATATGAACCTACACATGTTGCTTTCCATCTGTTCTTGAATAATTCTCCAATTTTCATCTCATATTTTGTCTTCATGCGTGGTCTGATGTACGTTGGAGGAAATCATCATTTACTCTTGAGAAAATCACTTATTTAGCTTTTAGTTTTAATGTATAATATATTGTTCATTGTCTCATTTTATAGTTGACATTTTGCTTGTTCCCCTGTGATATGCGTGTATATTGATTAAATCTCTTGAAAATTTTTAGTATCGTATGTTACTTTGGGCCAATTGAATTTAGGAATAAATTATCAAAATGTGCATCTACAAAGCATTTTATATTTTTTTAATCGCGTGAGACTTTCAGAGCCCTCGCAAACTTATATCTTTTTAATTGCTTGAAACTTTTAAACTGTTTACAAATTTTATAAATTAATTAATTTATCTTATATAGTGATAAATTATTGTATGTAAAAAGTTTTGAAATTATCAGTTGCATGAGACTTTTAGAGTTCTCGCAGATTTATAAATCATATAACTTATCTTATACAGCGATATATTATTATAAGTACATTTTAAAACATTTTATTCTTAAGTAAAAAAAATATTTTCCTAAAAATAAATAAATAAAATAATTTTTTTGAAAGGTGAACATATGAAGCTTTCTTAAATCTTATTAAAATATTTTTCACAAAATTATCCCTCAAGATCTTGTCACAAATAAAGAAATAAAATATTTTCATAAATAAAAACTACAAACCAACATTAAAACTATTTTATAAAAAATTCATAATTAATATTTTTCCTAAAAAATGTCTAACCAAAAGACACGCATTTTTATTTCAAACTACATAAGCTTTGATCCCTTAAAAGAGTACATAGGCTCTAAAGTTTCATCCTAAGTTAAGTTCAACTCATAAATAAATAAAATTTTTCCTTTTTAATTTTCTTACTTTTTTATCTTATTTTTTATTAAGGATAATTAATATTTTTAAGGCCATTTAAATTTATATAGTTAACTTAAAGTAACCATTCACATGAGTGGGTGTTGTGGGGTGCCAACACCTTCCCTGCATATAATCGACTCTCTTATCCTTTTCTCTAAACGTAGACCATACAGTTAAAGAGCTTTTTAAAATTACTCTTTAAAATTTTAGTGGCGACTCTTAATATTTATTTTTTGTTCAATTTTTCTCTTTAAGAAATTTCAAATCGGGTGCAACACCTTGCCATTTGTATCGTCTGTTTTTTTGGTTAATGGGCCTACATTACTTTGCCCACGTTTGTCTCTGTGCCATATGTCATGATACATTTCATGTTTTTTTTTACAGCAATAAGGCTGTCAAATGATAGTTTCTGAGGTGAATTTTTAGCGCACCCCATTTCTTCATCCAATATCTAATTGAGGTTATTTAGATATTCGTAGAAGCTTTCTTTAAATTCTAACTAATGGCACTGATTTCGCATTTAAATTACTTTTTAATCAAAATTTAAATACTTATTTTTAAACTCACTTCTTCATACAATTAATCCACAAATTGGGTGTCCAAAATTCAATCCAAGTTTCAAAAGCGGTTATAAATTCATAGATCACACTCAATGAATTATACAGGACTTATGTAATACACCACAACAATCCATCACGCATGTATCACATTCTCACTACTCAATCCCTTGATCATAAAAAAAAAACATAAAGGGGAGTTGAATTGTCATAAATTGTCACAAAAGTTATCATAGCCATTTATCTACACATCTCTTTACTTATATTAGTATTTTGACACTATTCAAACTTTGCAACAACACATACAACTCAAGGCACAAAATATACATTTAATTCAATTTCAAAATTAGTGCAAAAAGTCAAAAATCACATTATATCTTAGTTGGCAAATATCAACCAAAATATGCATAATTAAAACTACAAGGCCTACTATTAAGATTTTAGCAAAATCCTATACCTTAAGTTGTTTCCCCTGATCCTGATCTGATGAGTTAGTCCTTATAATATTGAAGAAAGAGGGGGGAGACTCAGTAATTAGGGTTAATCTAGCTTATACAGATGCATGTTAATTAATTATAGATACATATCACAATTGTATTATTTTCATAAGATGATTTGCTTTTCAAAATATTACCACAACAACAATACTAACAAATATATGGCTAGGCATAAACAAATATCAATGATAAATATCAAGACACATATGGGTTCATAAAACTAACAACCATGTGCCCCTATCAAAATATGCTAGACCACAATAATAACAACCATGTGATCAGATATAATGTGTATGATCAATACCATTATTATACCCTTATGATATCTTTGACATGAAATTGGTGGCTATATAGTGGGCTATGTCCATGAACTTGAACTATCCAAGCCTTTTACTCCTGAAAAGCTGCTTGGTTAATGCTACTATACTTAGTTGTGAGTCACGATTTTTCCATTATTAACAACTATGAGGTGTCATAATTCTAAGCTAGCCTTCTTATCGATAGAGACTAGTTAAGTTTGAGTCCTTCAAAAAACAAGTAGGATAGTCCCTTTAAAATGATAGGACAATGACTACCCCATAATTTTAACGGTTGGTAGCCAGGCTAACTTTTGATTCTAATGATAAGTTGCTAATACCACATGGATTTATTACTACTCCTCTCTCTAGATGAACTCCTATCATAAATGATTATGCTATGCACATAACAACAACACATAGTATGCAATTCTTTTGGCATTAATCTCATCATATTATACACACCATTAACACAAACATAATCATGTTCAACACATATCTAACCTTAACATTTTCTTTTTCATATGCATCTGGATACATTTTCACTTTTACGTATGACAACAATCATACACACACATGCTTACAAATGCCAAACTCACCAATTTCATCATATCACATAAGTTTACACATTGCCACAATTTGAATCAAATATGGATTTACAAACATCACTTGTTTTGTAAACAATTATTTTCAAAATATAATTAATCAACAAATAAATGCATAAACTAATTTTTTTCCGGTTATCTCAAACCTTTGAGAGGTTAAAGGTTTGCCCTTTAATTACAAACACTTCTAAAGCTCTTTTTAAGCTAGAATGTAGCCAATGGTGATTAATGTATAGTTAACCACATTGATAGTCATTAATATCCTCATTAGGATAATTTTCCAATACTTCAACCTAACACTCCTAATTCACAAAATCACAACCTCTCACTTTTTAACATATCCATTAGATTTAATAGCTCCCTTTAACTCATGTTATCATTAATGAACCATTAAACCACCATTAATGGCATCAATCACTTTCAACCACTCTCATTTATGAAAAATTTTGGGTATTAATGGTACTCACACATTAAAAATGAGTAAAACCATAAATGTTAGATTTAAATAATCTAAACAACTTTTATTAACTCTATTTAAATCATAGAATTTAGAGCTATGGCTATTATAACTGAAAATCATCATTCCAATATAAACCCTAACTCAACTCTTCAAGAAAATGGAAGAAAATGCAACTTACAGCTATGGTCTCCCAAACAATATCCTTTATAGCTTGATCAACTTTTTGCCATGATTTTTGGGTGATAGGTATAATTGTCTTTGCCACCACCCTAATATAACTTATAAATTTTGCAAATTTAATGGTTTGTCCTTTCTTGGTCTACTACATTGCCAATTTTTTGCCTACAGCTCTTGTTTTTGTAACTTCTTCCATTATTGGCAGGCCTCGCTGGATATTGTTATATTCCTGCTCTAATTTTTTTTGTGATGACAGAGCATCAGTAAAAGTTATAGCAAGATCTGATGGAGGAATTTCAGTAGACTCAGAATTTAAAGCCATTTATCTGTAACATAAGAAATTCAAAAATTAATCAACCATAATTAGTTCAAACATTAATCAACTTAATTAATTTAAACATGAAATAAAAATGACACAATTAATTCAAAGGTTGCATGTTCAAGTTGCTTGTTTTCATTTCCTTGACTCTTGTTTTTAACCTTCCCCTCCTTGAAATATTTTCTTCTTATGCTGAAATAATTTACCCCTCTTTGAAATTCAAATATCTTCATTGTGATTATTTCTCATGTATAGAGCATCATCTGCAGTGTCGTTACTTTGATTTGATGTCCTTTTAAATAGGTCATCATCAACTGTTACATCTTCATTTATTTTTTTCGTGTAACAGAAGAATAGACCATCCCTTATTAGCAGAATTAAGGACATA